CTGTGGTGTGACAGGTTGTCGGAGTGTGACACTGTCTGCAGGGCTTTGCTTCTTTCCTTTCCTGCTGTGGCTGAAGTCGAGTTCTGATGTGTGCCAACCCAAGGTAGACAGAAGGGTTGCGGTCCTACCTTGTGCATGACACTCAGTCCGGTGGCCGGGCTCTCCTGTCTCTTCCCTCCTGGACCATGATTCCTGTCATGCGTGCTTCAGAAATGAAGTGCCAGCTCCACCAGTTTCGGAGGCAGAGGACATGGTCCTGAAATGAGTTTCAGGTAGTTTGGCACTGGCCTGCTGCGAGGCATCCCACCCAACTGGCGTGGCGTTCCCATGTGGTCTGCAGTGCTCCACAGTGCAAACGCTGATAGGAGTTAGAACAGCTACTGAAAAGCAGACTTTTACTGCCTTTGTTTCCCTTGAATGTTAATGAATACGGGTATCAACAGCCTGGACTGATAGTACCTGGTGTTACACTTGTGTTCTTGGTGGAAATTTCCTGTACCAAATTTCCAGGGTGTGTGGTCCAGCAGACCCCAGGCCTATCTTTTGGATGGTCTCTATCAGCCCAGTTCTTTTCAGGAGCGTGTGATCACCCTCACATATACCACAAATACTTTGCTGTTAGAAACCTGGTGTTTCACAGATGAGTAATAGTTGGAGAATGGCACGTTTTCATGTTTAGGAGATGGTTTCAGACGCTTGTAATTGTGATTTCGTAGCCCTTGGCCAGCAGAATCAGCCTAGGGTGAAATAAGAGGTGGCAGATCGGGAGAACGCTATTAGATGTCTGAGAAATGTATTTCTGTGAAGGGAGAGGTCAGAAATAATAAGAAAAGGGCAGTCGCGGTAAGATGTGGGCTTCCGTTAGCTTAAAACATGGTCTGGTTCTGTTACTCTTTGAACAGCGGGAGCGTGAAACAAGCGCCCTGGGTCTTGTCCTGTCCTCTCCCTCCCTGCACCTGGCTACTCCTGGCCTTTCTCCTTCCATCCGCTGTTCCCACTCCTGTTCCTCCCGTGATGTGCTGGGGTGGCCGAGCTCGGTACGGAGGGTGCGACTCAGTACCTCGACCCGCACGAGCATCCGATGCCCGAATGAGGTGCATCCATGACTGGGGGTCATGCACATTTTGAATACACATGAACAATGATAATTTATTTACTGATTTTCTACCCCTTCTTTTTTCGATGTGGGTCATGTGTATTTCTGGAGGGCGTGCCGTGTATGAAGGGATTAGCTATATCTCTCAAATTGGGATTGTTTTCAGAAAAATACCTTCTTAAAAGAAACCGTTTCGGATTGGGATTTTCCTCTGGACATCGCGTGGTTCTTCCAACGGCACTGAACTCTCATTTCAGACTGATCGACACTGAGGTGGGGTAATGTGACGTTTCGGATTGGGATTTTCCTCTGGACATAGCGTGGTTCTTCCAACGGCACTGAACGCTCATTTCAGACTGATCGACACTGAGGTCCCCAATGTGTCTTGTCAGGGCTGGATCCAGCTGTGGCTGGGCCTGATGGATGCACAGCTGTTCCGCCGCGCACGTGCGCTTGGGTCTGCGGAGGGGACGAAACGGGATTTCATTTCCCTTGCTTGTCAGGGCTGGATCCAGCTGTGGCTGGGCCTGATGGATGCACAGCTGTTCCGCCGCGCACGTGCGCTTGGGTCTGCGGAGGGGACGAAACGGGATTTCATTTCCCTTGTTGTTTCTGTGGCTGTGTGCTGCTAGTGGCTACCAAAGAAAATGCCTAGTAGAAAACTGGAAATATAATACATTTCAAAGCTCTTTGTAGAGAAGCTGTTTCAAGAGGTTTAGACCAGGTTAAACCTGCATGTATTCTGGAGGTTAAATTGGTGTACTAATTTATAATCTTCCCCTCAGAGAACCTGCTTTCAGCTTTTAAAATGTAATCAGTGCCATCTCTTAAGTCGTGCTCTCACATTTTGGCAAGTTCCGTGGTAGCAGTGGTTATGCTTCCCGCAGCGCAACGTAACGTTCATCTGTGTGATGCTCCTGAGCAGGTAAAGCTGCTCTTCTGATTTTTCGTCATTCTTGAATTTTATTTCAGGACATAACTTGGCAAGATGAACACTCGGCTCCGTTCTCCTGGGAAACAAAGGTAAATATGCATCAATTTTTTTTATGTTGGTTTGTCGTTTTATACTGTTCCTTGTGCATTTATATTGTCTTCATTTTGAGACTTGATAGGCTAATGTCACCCACATTCTATGAGAAATGTGTGAAGTCACTGTCCTGCAGATGAAACAGGACTGTTGTGCTTTGATTTACATCAACAGAAACGCAAAATGTGCTTCATGAAAGAGT